TTAAAGGCAGACATCCTCATTGCCACTGTTTCACGATTAAAGTGAATTTGATTTTATTTAGCTACATAAAATGTTCCTTATATGGTTTGATTTATTTAACATGGGTACTCCGGGTTTTGCTCAGCCTTATGAACAACACCTCCGGAAAGGCTCTCAAATTGTTTGGAGCAACCAGTCGTTGATATGCAATAGAACCAGCAGTCTGTAGTAGTAGTAGTAGTAGTAGTAGTAGTAGTAGTAGTAGTAGTAGTAGTCAGTTTCAACAAACCTCGGTTTTGAAAATTCTCGTCCGAAATAGGTGTTCAAATGTTGGCAAGTTGATTTCAAAGTTTGAAATAAAATAATATGCCGCTCCGTGTCTCTGACAGGTTGAATCGCAAAGAGTGGTGCTCGTGCATCCACTCGTTATTCTCCTAACACCATTTTATATGAATTCCCCATCTTCCGTTTGAATTTGCTTCGACATTCCAATCTACATCTTGCTCTTTTATCCAAATGGGCAATCAAAAGACAGCAACCAAAACCGGCGCAGGAAAGTGCATGGTTAATGGTTGTAAAAACTGAAACTGAATCACCGTTGTGAGAAAATACGTTTTTCGCCGTGAAACTGATCGTCATTGAGGAGTAACGGCGTTGCATAACAACCCCGGCACGCTAATCAAATTGAGTGCTGGGTTTTTGGGAATCAGAGTTATCACCGTCTTAGTACACTTTAGCAGGGTGCTGGAAACATATTACGGTAAATAACTAAGCGACAATTTGTCAGGACAACCTGTTATTTTCTTATGAGAACACGTTTCTAATTTGTACACAATCGAGCACCATAGGTGTAGAGTAACTTTGACTGGTGACCATATTGGGTGCAAGGACAAACTCAAGGTCACCATGCTTTCTACTGACAGCGCTTACAAGACGAAAACACGCCACACTCTTCGATTGCCACGGATCCTCCGCGAGAGCTAGCAGTTATCATTTTACCAATTATCTCAGTTCACAATGTATCCCGAACAAATCACAGAACAACAATCTTTGGAACAAAGAAAGATCTATGGTTTGTTTGTGGGCGGAATACCGATAGGATACTAAGAACAAAACAGGTAAATTTTCTCTTAGAAGCTACAAGTGGCGTCTTTATTTACCCAAAGTCTAGCTTAGAACAGAGCGGGGCGGTGTGGAAATCGCAGTCTATGGTGATCTTTGTTCAATCGGTCGATTTATACGCTCCTCTAGTGGAGTTCATACGTCCAGGGTGGCCAATACGCCCCATCGCCAAATCAAGTCGGTTACCATTGCAACCAGGATTCCCTAGAGCTGGTTCGTATGCTTTCTCCTGGTAAGCTTCAGAGTTACGGTTTTCCAGCTCTCCTGGATGAGCTGGTTGATCGCGGATCCTCAGTTTCAACCCCAAATATTGGCTCTTGCTCTCTCTCTCTCTCAATTTGGAGGAAACACCCTAAGAAAAATTCAACAGGCACTTTGAGGATCGCACTTCATGAGAGCAGTAGTTCGGACGAGAGCGCGGCTACATAAATCCTTCGAAATACCGGCTTCTTATCCAGTCAAGCTACAGCCTTCGACTAGTCCAGTTTATCCAACCGAAATTCCTCTTATCCCTGACGTAGAGATCAACCTGTTTGTGCACCAGTCACGTTGATGGTAGACTTTTGGTAGTATATGCCTTTATTCAATTGATTCTGATGAAGAGAACTTTAGTAAACTACTAGAAACCACAGGAGATTCACTCACCAGACTGGGGAGAGTCTAACAAATTGGAATTTTGATCGAAGACCAGGCTGTCCAATCCGAGTTGCAAGCCCGATGGACACGAATCAGATGCGATCCGAATCAGAATCTGAGTGGAAATACGGGGGAGATCAAAATTTACGAAAAGTGTCAAAACCGCAACGAAATGAGATAACCAATGATTCTATTCCAAGGGCGCATCAAAACGGAAAAAGAGAGATGCTAACATCTCGTATGGTCTCCACAGTTGAAGATGTAAAGCAAGCTGGCATATAGATAAAGATTGGAATGTTGTGAAAAACGGACTGAATCGGTAGTATGTATGATAAAGGTGGCAGAGGGGGAAAATGAAAAATGATCTATATAAGGTGTTCGAAAACAAAAGGGATNGATGAGGAAAATTCAGAGAGTTATTACATCGAATAGGGATGGAACGCATCTCGAAATCAACTAAGGTAAGATCGGAAACACCACTACTGGTTTTTTCATACTTCATGACCGATTATCCCCCACCCACCCAAAAAGAAAAAAATAAATAAACATAAAACAGGTCACTTTCACTTTTACTTTCGTATAACACAGTCACAACAAATCATTGAACTCATGGAAAATCACACTTCGTTCACAAATTGACCAGAGAAGGCCAATGCCATCTTTCTCGTTTCTTCCTTCTTTCTAAATTCAATTATTCGGAGGGAAAACTTGACCAAATTTTTATACGTGGTGATTCCTCAGAATTCGATTCGTATTTGGGTGGGACCAGAACGGCCAGGGTGTTCGTACACGCAAAATTGCCAAACAGTTACTTAGATACTTGTTTGCGACTGATGAATAGTAATTTGCGACGTACAGTGCAAAGTTTTTATCGTATTACCCCTAGATTACCAGTCATCGAATGAAACTGCATCTGCGCGCACGATAGGTTCAGTGACGTTCGCAAAGAGCCTCTCTATTCACTTCGAAAATTTCTCGAGCGAATCTGAATGAATTCGATGACGAAAGGTGGCTGATTTTAGTTCGTTCACTGGAGATTACATCCAACGTTAAACCGAACTACTTTAAATTATCAGGTCAAGGAAAAACAGAATTATCACATAAAACGGAAAAATGCAACGAAGATCGACTGGAGGTTTACACCTCACTGCATTTATTGTTACAGTAAGGGCACAACAAAACTCGTGCCGACCAGCACCGGTTATAAAGAATAGTGTCCTGAGGTGCTAATCACATTTATAAGTGCCATGTTTGCAGAGCGCAAAGGATCGCGATTGATGATTTCTCAAAAATAAACAAGACCGCCCGGGGCGAATCCGTGAGTTCGGAATTTTAACAACAGACAATGCATTACATCACGACAAAACTGCACCTTGACGTGGTGTGATGACTTGTACACCGCCCTGACCCAGCGAGCTAAACAGGATGGCATTTGTCAAGACAGGAGATCGTATCATGCCTGGAAGGTCAATGGATATCGGTGAGAAGAACAGTCTCCTCCGGCAACCATGTTTTCCAGTTTGCATTGTCACACACAATCACATATGATTGGTGTTCTTCTCGCAACAGTTGACCAACGAGCGTTTGCAACACACAAACGGAGTTGTGAGATCCTATCTTTTGAACATAGTTCAACAACCGATCAGCATTCAAAGGACCTAAGATGAACAGATTTCTTCCTCTTGAACTGGTCACAAACTGGTTACTTATTTCAACTGAGTAATGTAGGATTTGATTTAATTTCAAAGATGAATTCTGCTGATGAGACCCAACCAACTCGAAACAGCTGCCCAGTGCTTTCTAGCTTTTCACTTCACGCTTTATTTGCTATATACACCACGAATCCATCTTTGAAACTGAAACAAATCCTCCATTACTCATTTGAAAAGAAGAACCCTAATCGTTTTCCTACTCAGCCGCTGAACACCCTAGCAGTACCCGTCTGTCCAACTCCAACGCATACACAAACTATGAATAATTCTATATTGCATCGGTCGCCCCGTGGGATAATCAGGAACGTGCTGCCCGTTCCATAGAGCGGGGCGAGTAGTGATAAATGGGCCACCGCGCAGACATCTCAAACTAACTTCAATTCTTTGTCTGCCGTAACTAGTCCTCTCCCTGTGCCCCTTCTTCCGACCTGTAATAGCCGCTCAAG